TCTAATTCTTGCAATGTTTTTGAGATGATAGTATGCTGATTTAGTTACTGCTTTGACATGACTACTGAAACTAAGGTCTGTCTCCAGAATCACACCAAGATTCTTGACTTGATTTTTAGTTGTTTGACCCCTAGAGTCAAGGTATGCATTCACCTTGAGAACTTCATCTTTGTTTCCAAATGCAATGACTTCAGTTTTCTCCTTGTTTAACCGAAGGAAATTTTGGCACAAAACTGTTAATTTCATCAATGCATTGGCAGAGGGAGTCAATGGGGCTGTAGTCATTTGGTGATAAGGCTAGGTAAATCTGGGTATCATCAGCATAGCTGTGATCGGTAATTTGGTTCCTTCTCATTATTTGACTTAGTGGGAGCATATACAGGCTAAACAAGAGCGGTGCAAGAATTGAGCCTTGTGGGACGTCCACTTAAGATTTATGCTCTCCAATACTCGCATAATAACCTCTCCCTTCTAAGTATGACCTGAACCATTTGAGTACCATCCCAGAAAGCCCGACCCAGTTTTCCAGTCTCTCTAGAAGTTTGTTATGATCGACAGTGTCAAATGCAGCACTGAGATGTAGTAGTACCAGCACTGATATTTTGCCAGAATCAGAATGTAAGCGAATATCATTTATTATCTTAATGAGCGAAAATTGTCCAGGTATCCATTTGAGTTTAAGTATTTGTTCAGCTGATTAAAAACTACCTTTTCAATAAGCTTGCCTATAAAAGGAAGATTTGATATTGGTCTATAATTGCTCAAAATGGTGTTATCAATATTACTCTTTTTCAGAAGGGGCTTAACAACTGCAGTTTTCAGGGAGTTTGGAAACGTCCCAGAAAGAAGTGAGGCTTCTTTTTGAAAAAAGATGTGGGAAGTGTGTCAAGATAGCAGGTTGACGATTTTAGGTGCTGCACTATTTCTTCCAAAATTTTGCTATCAATTGCTTCAAAAATAGACATAGTATCTTCTTTTTGATATTGCGGTCAAATCTGTCAAACCTCTGCATAACTTGAGGATGTGCTAATCGCCTTCCTGATATTAATGATCTTCTCAGAAAAGGAGGAAGCAAAAAATTGCATTCGCTGTCGGAGAGCATTTCACTGGGAATCTGACTTGGGGGGGTTGTCAGTCTCTCAACAGTAGCAAAAAGAGTGCAAGTGTTGTTTAAGTTACTGTTTATAAGGTTTGAGAAGAAACTCTGTCTAGCTGTGGCTAGTTCCACATTGAAAGCATGAAGGCTGTCTTTATAGATGCTATAATGAATTTCAAGTTTTGTCTTCAGCCACATCCGCTCAGCTTTTCTGCATTGTCTTTTCATACTCTGTACTGCTGTTGATTTTCTCCAAGCTGATTTCTGTCTGCCAGACTTCTTACTGACTTTTACCAGAGCAATATCATCAATAACATTCTTAACTTTTGAGTTAAAAAAATCAAGGAGAAGATCCACAGAGTCTGCAAAAATGCTTGGTGTTAAAGATATAGCCTCCATAAATAGCACACTAGTGTTCTCGTTAATGCATCTCTTTCTGACAGAGACAGATCTAGATTCAGTGGTAACAGAGATCAATATAAGAGAGATCACGGCAGAGCTGCTAACCTACGGGTCAACCACGCTGACAAAGTACACAATAATTCTATCACACCAAAGTAGAGAGACTTTAATGTTCTCTCTATCTTGGTTAAATCATAAGACGTCAGCATGAAGGGTTTACAGAAACAGGAAGTTCATACCTCAAGTCCTGGTGCCCCTGTCAGTCCAGGCAATCCAGTATTGCCCTTTATAAGAGTTAAAAAAGGAAATAAGAAAAAATAATAATACATTGATAAAAAGAGAAGGGGAAAATGGTGCCATTTACTAGTACATTTCAGAATAAATTTGTATCATTTAATCAGAAAAGGTTAACACTAACTATACCATGTAACCCACTTCATGTCCAAAGTAACAAGGCCATAAAAATAAATACATTTTATAACTTTAATTATTCAATGTAATATTATATTATTATATTATATAGTTTAAATAAAAATAGAATATATATACACACAAACACAGACATTTTTTGCTTTTGCATTACACACTGTTATGATAAATACGGTTAAATCTATCAAATGATGTGACAATGTTCAGAAACCTGTACACTATTCTCTTGGAATGACCACAATAAAGATGGGTCACTTTTTTAAGCTCATAGATGTTCATCATTGAATGGCATGGATGCTGTTCCTCTGATGTGCATTATGCCAAAAACATTTACAACATCTTGTGCACTTTATTTACCTGTAAACCTTTCGAGCCTTCAGAACCTTTTTCACCCTGGTGAAAGAAGAGGAAATGCTGATTGCAATGCATTAAATCACATTTTCAAAAGGACCTACAGTAGAACAAGAGACCAAGGTCGAAAAAAATATCTTTTTATGTGTCCATGCTTTCAAAATGTTTCCCTCCTTTTAAAACCTTTATGTATCTACTAACACCTGACAGATTAAAGAGAGAGCCGGATTGAGCATTTGCATTGACTGTCCACTGTATTGATTCAGCACAGCTTTCATATTTTCCTTTTCATTTTAAGACAAGGCTGCCAAAACAGATTTTTAAAAACTGCTTGGCATAAGTTCAACATTTTAATGATCTTACAGTCTGATGCGGATGCATGACAAACAACACTAATGAGTGGCTACTAACCTGGTCTCCTTTCTCTCCTTTATGGCCTTTCTCACCTCCTTCCCCCTCATGGATTATTGGGAGTGAACAAACAAAACAATGGATAGAGATTATTCATGGAGGAAATGCATGGTTGCATGATAATAATAATTTTTAAAAAGCACACAGTGGCAGTCAGTTTACCATGCATATGATGCACATCTGACTGAAAATCATTCCAAATGCATTGCAAAAGCAAATCTAGGACTAATGTAATTAAACATGGAACGTTTTAGGATTTAATAATAATAATAATAATAATAATAAGGATGATGATGATAATAATGTAATGATGTAAAATGAATAAATATTTTCACTTTTTTATTTTTATATAATTTTCTGTCTGATCATTTTTAATCACAGATTTGCAAAAATAGTATAAAAACAAAATAAACGGTGTTAAACTAAAATCTAATTTAAATTTAAAATATCAGGGGAAAAAAATACAAAACAGAAGCATTTTCACTAGTGGTTTTAAACATACCAGTATTTCACAAAGTATTTTTAAACTGTATATAAACTTACAGGTCCAGAAAGTCTCAGTCCATGTGCTGTCATCACCTTAATAAATAAAAAAAGACTATATTTAATATTGATGTTAGCTTATGCTGTTATAGAAAACTACCATGAGACTGCAACTGCAGGTTACATGTGTTAAAATGAACCCAGGACCAGCAAAAAGAAGTTGGTGTTGAGTTTTTTAGTTTGTTAAAGGGAAGATCAGGTGAACATGCTCATAAGAAAGACCTTATCAGTTATGATTTAATCATTTCTCATGCTCCGCTCTTAGATCTCAGTTCAGTGATAACCTCAACATCTCCACACAAGCATAAAACAGAAGCTTCCTCTCTCGGTCTGGATGGCCTCTATGTGAGAGATTACCATTAATCCAGGGTTTATGGCATTTCAAATGGCAAGAGCCTTTTACTGCAACAAGAGGCCTGCAAATATAGACCAAAAAAGTGCCTCTTCAAGACGTCACGGTCTGCCACATAGAGGTGGATTCTGAATCTGCTTTACGGCTTTCCATTTTCCCATTAACTACCAGCTGGTTTAATAGCCTGTCAATCATTGTGACAGCTTTCAGTCAGCAGTGAAAGACAGATTGTTTTGTTAGATGTATCCGTGGATTCATCTACTGTGTTTCATGTGCTGTAAAACAGAAGTCTATGAATAAAGATGAAACAACAGGAGGCCTGATGTAACTTCAAGACAAAGTTGGTCTAGAGAATGAACAGTAGATTTTTTCCTGTTTTGTACATTTATTCATTGTGCTGAATAAATGCATGTAAATTATATGAGCTCTGCTCCAAAACCTAGTGAGCTGCCTATCTAATGGTGTGTTCACACCAGACGCGAAGCGAATATGCGCATCGCGTCACTCGCTCTAGATTACTCGCGGGATGTTTTTCGTGTCACTCGCGCGAACAAAAACAGCACTGTATTGTACCTGTTGTCAAAAAGTCCCAAATAAAATGGAAAGCCAAACGCTGATATGTCTGGGTTCACAGCACCGTCCAGAGAAGGATGAATAACGTTAGGATCCTGTATTAATGTGTATGTTACATTTACTACTGTATATATACACTGATATTACTATTATTTTTATTATTGATAGCAGCATCTCTGTAGCCATGCTAATAAAATACAACTGATTTGAATTGTTTTCTATGCTCCAGACCTATATAATAACAGATGGCTGCAATAATGCTCTCTTCTATTGTCTGATTCAACTGGACGAGTCAAGAAACTCTTCGCTGATTGGCGCGTCATGCGAATTTTCCGCTAGAGTTGAAATTTTTGAACTTGCGCCGAAGACGCGATTGAGGCGAATATCGTGCGTTCGTGGCAATCGCGAATTCGTCTCTATTAGCGTCTTTGTGTTGACTTTGTATGTAAGCTACTCGCGCGAATAATTACATTCGTGTCTGAACACACCATTAATCTCTTCATAGAGAATTGCCTACTAATACATCATGTTAGGTGAAACGGACCTCACAAGTGACTGATTTGAAATACTGGACATTTAGTTTAGTGTTAGAATGTTGCTAATGACAATACAATAAACTCAAAAATACATTGCACAAAAATATTGGTTCAATTCATATTAAAAGTTTTTTTTTAAAATGTTAAATATACTAAACATTTAAATTATGTTTTGTTAAATGCAGAAAAGTAATGTTTATAAGTGTGCACTATCATTCAAAAGTTTGGTTTTGGTAAGATTTTTATCGTTTTTGTAAAAAGAAAAAAAAAATGCATTTTGAAAATGCTTTTATTTGAATATACTTTAAAATGTAATTTATTCCTGTGATGGCAAAGCTGAATTTTCAGCATCATTACTCCAGTCTACAGTGTCACACAATCCTTCAGAAATCATTCTAATATGCTGATTTTGTGCTCATTAAACATTTATTCTTATTATAAATGTTGAAAACAGTTGTGCTTATTATGCTAATTATAAAATTAGGTGCTATAACATAATCATAAAAACAAAAATATAATTTTTTTAATAAATATCGTATTGAAGTCAGATGGGTCCAACCATATATTGACGTGCTCTGAGCTCAGAAAAACAGCTAATTACCATTTAACAATGAGCTAGAATTTAATTAAAATCTTGAAGTGGGATTTAGGTTACAGTTGTTCAAAGAATTTTTTTCGTCTTTGTACAGATACAAATCCTTAATTAAAACAGAAGTAGCTCTAAACAACATGCTCCATTCAGAGCTGGCTACAATCAAATTCCAAGCTAAAGAGGAAACCATGAGAGAATAATCAAACTCTTAAAAGCCAGTTTATATTCGAGTCACCCATCATCGTAATTAGCCATTTCAGAACAGGAGAAAAAAGAAGCCATCGGATTCTTTGGTGTTCCAGGCTTCATGAATCTTTGCAAATTGGTTTAAAAAGGCTACAGTCATTTTGTTTCTCCCATTTAGCTAGAGATTCACACAGCAGACAGCATCAATTGATTTTGTGCCCTGCTGTCAAATCGCACCTTTCGTCTCCCTTCTTTGATTTAATTGGCACGGGCAATGCAGTTCCAAACCTGCAAATTTCCTGCTAAGTGCGACCAAAAAGCTTTTGGCTTCTCAGCTCTCAAAGGTTGTCTTATTAGTGACCAGTCAGCAGAGATGAAGCCGATGAGCAGTGCTGCACTGGCGCAGTACACTCTACACTGTCAATACGGCAGAAGAAGTTTGTGGTGGTAGTTACTGTAACTTCAACTTTGACAAACATAAAATGCAGAACAAACAGGAAACATGTGGTCTTCCTGAATGTCTGAAAGGGAGTGAATTGTCCCCCTCAGTCATGTGTCTTTTGAAACCTACACTGAAGTTAAATTAAATTTAGAATTCATAAAAAAATAAATAGCTTGATTTTATTGGTATTAACATTTACCATTGATCGCAACAGGGTCCTTGTTAAAGAAAGTCATTCAGGTGATGTTGACCTTAAAATGAAATGTGGGTAAGTGCAATTTGTATTAACAAGCAGAATTATAATTAATAAGCATAATATACATTAACTCAATAATTAGCCTTTTTCCATATGCTACTGTAGCAAGCATTTATTAAATTGATCATAAATGACAGTAAAGTCATTTATAATGTTACACATTTAACATTTATAAATGTTGCTATTTTTATTTCAAACAAATGCTGTTATTTTGAACTTACTATTCATCAAAGAATCCTAAAAAATTTTTTTTTAAAAATCATAGTTTGTCAAAATCAAAATTATGAGCCAGCTCAATTGCTTTGACAATAATAAGAAATTATTCTTAAGCACCAAATCAGCACATTAGAATGATTTTAGCACATTTCTGTGACAGTGAAGACTGGAGAAATTCCTGAAAATTCAGATGAATCAAAATTCATGATTGTCATCATGAATAAATTACATTTTAGAATATGTTACAACATAAAAATGTTATTTTAAACTGCAATATTATTTCACAATATTACAGTTTTTACTGTTTTGAGCAAATAAATGCAGCCTTGGTGAGCATAAAATGCTTCTTTGAAAAAAAATTAGCTTACACAGACATTATTTTACACAGTAGCTCTGAATCATTTATTGGACTTGAATCCTCTCAGTGGAGACGTTCATGGCATGAAGATCAATGTGTTTATCAAAGACATGCAAGTTTCCCGTTTAAACGGATGTTCTGTAACATGTAGAGTCTCATGTGTGTTACTACTGTATGTGATATATCTGTATGCGTCAGAACCTCTGACTGAGAACCTCTAGTACTCACGGGGCCCGGTAGTCCTTCCTCACCCTAAAGGAATAATGATAAAGTAAAACAAACACAAGAAAAGTGAATCAAATGAACCACAGAATTGACTGAGTCTGAACCTCAGTTATAGTCAAAAGGTTTTCTACACAAGACTATGATTTATTAGACAGAACTGGTAAACAAGTGAACAGACTCACCTCCTCCCAGCACACAAACTAACAAATAAAACATGCATTACAAACCTTTTGCCCCTTCATTCCACTGGCTCCCTCCAGGCCAGGCAAACCCTGTGGAGTGAGATGTTAGAAGAGACGAATGTATCATGAGGTAAATAAGCACACACAAATGTGTGATGGGATTTTCAATTAGAGCTCTGAGATGTTACATACAGAATCCCCTTTGTCGCCCTTCTGTCCATCCATTCCTGCGACACCCGGGTCACCCTTCATACCCTGAAAAACAACAACAAATAATCACACATATACATACAACATATGAACACACAGATAATAACCAGCAAAGGGGCAACCACTGGCATACGAGATTCATTTTAAAATGTATTTATTTTACTGTTATTTTATGTTAGTTATTTTATTTTATTATTGTTTATAATTATTTTATCAGCCATTATATTTTTGAAAAAACTCTCTCTCTTTGATCACCAAGGTTGCATTTATGTGATTAAAAAAAACTGTAAAAATGTGAAAAATTATTACAATTCAATATAATTTTTCTATTTTAATATATGCATGATGGCAATGCTGAATTTTCAGCAGCCATTACTCCAGTCTATATATATATATATATATATATGTGTGTGTGTGTGTGTGTGTGTGTATATGGGGTGCTGTGTGTACATTAATGAGGAAAAAAATTAACTTAAATGATTTTAGCAAATGGCTGCAATATAACAAAGAGTGAAAAATTTAAGGGGGTCTGAATACTTTCCGTACCCACTGTATATATATATATATATATATATATATATATACACTGTATACAGCATACATATATACACACACACACACACACTCTTTACTTTTAATTTTTTGCATTTAATACAAGTTCTTGACCTTCTTGACTTGACCTTTCCAAGCATTTATGACTACTAGATAAAGATTAATTTTTTAATTTTTTTTATTTTACTATTCCTTAATTTTTTCCAACGCTTGTTCATTATCGCCAAAATATTAACATTCAACACAGACACTTCCTTGACCTTTCTCAGTCCAGCAAATCACAATTTACAGCAATGACTAAACTGCAATGATGGTGAAACTCAAAATCACATGTTATTACACAAGTCAATGGAAACAACACACTCAACAACACCGTTTCAAACACTGAAAAAACAATGAAGCTGTAATAAGCATGATTCATTCCTGCTGTGATGCATGCTGGGAGTCTAGCATCCAGCGGCGCACATATCACACTTATTTTCCTTTGGTGGTGTTGATGTGATGTGGCACAGCGGACTAGAATATTTAAATGTTAAATGTCAAACCAGTCTGTGAACCCTTATTTAATCCAACTTCCATTACACAAATGTGCCCATGTATACATCACACTTAATGCCACTTAATTACAGCCACTAAACATGAAATCAATGTTCTGTAAGTCGCTATAGTACATCATGTCACACAGATAGGACAGGAATTTATCGGCCAATAGATGGCACTTTCTCACTGAAGATAAATTCCTGTCTCACTCACCCTGCGTCCATTTTGAGACGCTGTCCTCTCTCAAAACAATGCAAACTGAGCATCTTTTATACTGGCAGGCGAGAGGCTGAGCATTTAGTGTCTATATATTGAGTCTGGAATCCATTTGTGCTTTCAGATACTCCAATACACATGGATTCATAGCTAAATGGTGTAAAGATATGAAGGATTTAGAATTGAATGTTGTGTTTTCTTTCAAAACAAACACCATTGAGAGGAAGTGTTGAGGAGAGAAGGGACCGTCACAAAACATCCCTGTGGTGATTTTAGCGGTGTCAGACTTGACTGAACGCTGTATGTACATTAAAATTCCTGAGGGGAACTCTGTGGAGAGGTAATACAATTTGTCTACTCAACCTGGAAAAGGCAATTCCCCCAAGTTGTACAGTTTTTTTTTTCTTTTTCATAATATTGCTTACAAGCACAACAGAGTGCACACAAAAGATAGCAGTGTGATTGGTGTAATGCCAAAGCTCACAGTCTCTGTTCCTCTGTAATTGCCACCTCCTGAGTGATCAGATTGCTATCTGTTTTGATTGCATCTTGGAGACTCTGCACTATAGCAATCCAATCAGTCCAAAAAAAAAAATATAATAAAAAGCTTCAAGTTACATTTCAGAAGTTGACATGTTTTCACAGTGCTTCATGAAAAAGACAAAAATATTTAGGTATTTCATAAACAATGAGTTTTTTTTAAATCTTTCTGAATATTTTTGAATTTCATGATGCAATTTTGAGAGAAATATTGAAATAACAGTGTTGAATAACACATAAGAACTTCATTTAAATAATAATTTTGTTGTTAAATTCAAATAAATAATAAAAAAAGTGTTATATCTTTGGAATTTATTGTCTTAAATATGATTCACAGAATTTTTTTTTATTCTTTTTATTTGTTTATTTTTATATTATATTGGGAAAAAAGCATTTCAAATGCATTTAAATAAAATTCAAAATAAATAAATAAATGAATAAATGTGAAGGAAACAATGTTAATTGTTAGCTACAAAGGCTAATTTAAATGGTCCTGTGGTGTGGCATGATTTCAAAACAGCACTTTTCAAATGTTATTATAATTATTGCACATGCAATTTTCATAACCTAATATTAATACTTTATTAAACATTTGTACTTTAAAAAATGTATTAATTTGCCCCTCCACAGGACCATTTGCTCTGTACTTCCCAGGCTTCTTTCTTTGTTATCATCTTATTATCTCTGTTTATTTCTTGTTATATACTTTAGAAATAATTGCAGTCTTATTTTTTATGAAAAATTTGTTTTTTAATGTCATTTGGGGCAACACACTTAAATACGTGTCCTCAGCCAAACAAGTGACCTATTATACAAGTAAGTGGTTATGATGTTGTAGGAAACTTTTTCCTCGTCGAAGCAGAAAACCAAGAGACATTGGGATATCTTTCATACAGAAGTCACTCTTTATTGAGGACTCGCTGTGCGTCGCTGCAGTCATCCAAGTCTGACTATAGCTCAGCACAGTAGAGTTTATATACATTTTAAGGGGGCGGGATTCATTCAGTAGAAGTGGCGACAATCTAAACAAAGCATGCAAATGCAATACAGGAATCAGCCCGTTACCAGAATTTCTCCAGCCCTGATCTCATCAGCATAACAGTGTCATTTAAATGCATAGATGCTAATCCAATCAGCATAACTACTCAAAGACTGGGGCAGAGGCACCAAGAGCCATTACAAACAAAAGGTGACTTTCTCAGTAATTTGGTTAATTTGACTAACAATAAGAGAAACCGGAACCGACAGGCACCTCTTGCTACACTTAAAGATAATCATTTGTCAGATGTAATTTACCTTAAATGCTAAATACAATGTACTTCACCTTAGTTTTTCATGTGATGCTATGTCAGAACATAGGATCAGCATATTTTAAACAGATTCTTAAATTTGTAATCCCACAATGTAGATAATCCTGCTTTCTGACTTGTTACCCGCAGTAGGACGCTAAGGTCAAAAGTATGTTAACCACACCATGTGTATTGACCATGAACAATTCTATAACAAAGAGCAGCAATTTACTCCGCTCTGAACTTGTAGCGTGAGTCTGTCAAAGTGCTCTCTTTGCACTGTCAGGACAAACGTATGCAGATGCTACACAGTCCTCTCACTGTTCTCAGAGTCCAGTCACAGTCCAATGCCTGTGTGAACTGGTGGAGATGACACACACACACACACACACACACACACACACAGAGAGAGCTCTCACAAGAGCAAATTGGAGCACTGCATACACACTCTCCTTCTGTCTGAGCTCAAAGGTGCAGTAAAGCAAAAAGCCTCTCCCCTCTGGTCCTCTTTGTCAAGCATCAGCTCCCTCGCCAAACCCCTGTGTAATCCTGAATCCCTGCGTGAAGATTTATAGGAAATGTTCTCGCTGAGGGAAGAGAGTGTCTTTTACGGCCTGCTGATGATAGGTGGTCACTCGTGATCAGTAATAAAAGCCACACAGAATGGTCGGAGTCTGAATAGCTCTACTAAGAGCTCGACTGCACAATTGCTCTTCTTACTTTGGCCTCTCCTGCTGAGAAAAGCAACTTGAACCAGCTTAAGGAGGTTTGTTGGACTTGCAGTCTGTCAAAACAGCTATTTTAGATGGTTTAGTGGTCTTGAAGCCTGACCACTCTAAAACCAGCCGATGAGTGCCCAAAACCCCTTGTTTGGGCAGTTTTTTTTCCCCAGCAGGGCCATTAATATTTCCATTCATGCTCACATAAACACATGCACTTTTCAACTGTGGGAACCTTTGGCACTGTTGACTTCTAAACTTCTCTAAAACAAAACTAAACAAGAACACAAAGATAAATTATCTTAAAACACACTTTTAAACCAACAGTCTACATGTGTGACAGAAGAATTATGGTGTTTTTTTGTAATTTTTTTCATAACTATTTTCTTTAATCCAACAAATATTATTTCTATCACAACTTTTGTTTGACAAACATGACATGGTGGAAATCTATTTTTAAGCTCGTCTGTAAACACTTAACCATTTTTCCATGGTGGAAATGATGCCACAACTGACAGTTACAATTTATAAATTTTTTTGTTTAATTTATACATTTTCTAAAATGTATTTGCGTTTTCAGTGAATTATTCATTCCAGTGTGTTTGGCTTTAAAACACGAGCTCTGTCATATTCTGTGATCGTCTCTGAAGAGCGCGAGCCCTCACACGTTGCGCTGTGTGAAGTATAGTCTAAACAGATTGTCAACACATCCCACCGCTGTATGGCCAGATGAGACGCAAACTGCGCTTTCTCAACTGGATAACCAGTCTCGCTAGTAAAGTTTTGATGGATGAAGACTGCAATCAAGGTAAAGACGATTGCGGTGGTGTACAGGAGTCGTACAGTACAGTAAGCACGTGTGAGTCCGTTATAATAACGCGTGTATGAGTGCTCTTGACGCACTGATAGCACATTGTATTTATGCACAGGCACAGACATTTCCACACACATTCATTAATGTTTTGATTTGTCATGTTTATGTTGCTGTGTTTAGTTATATGGAATTGATCCGTGTACTGTAGTAGATATATGCAGTCAGCAGGCGGTTGGTTTAGGTCTTTTTTGGCATCTCCATGTGGTCCTCTTCGGTATCGCAACTTGACTTCTCTAAAATGTAAAAAAGCTCTTTGGTGTTGCACAGTACACATACTATAAAATTCTGATTTTTTTTCTTTCATATGTGATTATATGGGCTCCTTATATCAGTTGGTTCTTTGGTGTCCTTTTGGAGTTTCTAAGTGTCCTTTTTTGGAAAGTCATCTAAATTTATCTTGAAAAAAAGCTTGCAAGAAATATAGATTTTTGAGAATCACCCTTCAATCTTTTGGTTTACTTTGCTGGATATAGCAAATGATGACAAAAACATTTGAAACAAGATAAATGGTCTATGCTTAATTTCATGAAGTGTGAAACTCAGATGACGAGGAAACTTTCATCTCTGAATTCAGCTCATGGTTAAAATAAACTTTTCTCCACATAATGGTTTGGTGTGTGTGCATCTTCCCTACAGCAAACTCAATTTAATTGAGCGTCTCAGAATCACAGCATGCCTTACTGCATAGAAACATTACTGTATTGACTACGCACCTCTACAAAACCCCGCCCACCCAACTATCCAAAATGATTGACAGCTAAAGACACACGTCATAGTTTTCTAATTGGCTAATGCATGCAGGCATTCTGACTGTCATTTGTTGCTAAGACACTACTCTTCAACTGAACAATGTACAAAAATAGTTAATACAACAGTGACTCAATTTGACGTCATAAACAGAAAAATTCTCAAAATTCTATATTTATCAACAATAAATCAGCCTATATTGTTTGTCCTTGTCCTTTTATCCCTCCGGGCCTTAGCGCGGTTGAATCATGGCATGTCCGGTGCTTGAACACATACATAGCTTCAAGGCCTTCTAAAATTAAAGCACACATTTCTTGATAAACTATTATGGTCTTCCATTTTTAATGCTCCAGGTTTAACACAAGAAAATAGATCTGACTTCAGTCAGTTTCCAGTTACCTTGGATTAAAAGCAGAAATTGGCTGCTTATATTTTAGTGAATGCACTTATATTATTATTTTTTACCCATTTTAATTTTTTTAAATAGAGGAATAAACTTCCTTTTTTATTTCTGCTTTTAAACTCTCCGAAATGACTCACCCCATAGACTACCATTGTAACTGTATGGCTGTAAAAATTATGTTTTTACAAAACTAGGGGACGAGATGAAATTAGTTTTTGTGGAAATCAACAGTATGTCACAAATGCTGTTGATAGTCCTTAACCTGCTTTTAACCCAGAATGTTCATTTAATTACACCCAAGCCTGAATCATTTGCCCTGAGTTAGATGTCAGGTGGGTTTGTCTGGGATCAGGTAAACAATGCTCCTGGTTACACTGTCCATTTGACTACACTGAAACAGTAATTACTGTCATTTAGAGGAAATTAAGAAAGATTATTTTGATTTAAAATGTCGGCTAACAGCAGAACAACTCAAAAATAATCTAGTGTTTAGACATCCCACCATGTGAAAGATAAAATTAACTCCCTTTAATTACTGTACTTGTCAAACTGAGGGACTTGAAACAGGTTGTATCAAATTGACTGGAAAAGAAAAATGTAGGTTATAAAACATCTTTTAATTAATTAAGGCATCCAGGCACAATTCGGGTGTGATATAAACTCATGAGCATGAGAAAAAAGAGATCCATAACACTGGGTAGGAACAGCATAGCAAAAGATAATTAGCTAAATCAGTAGTTGCATAGTAAAAAATAAAACTAAATAATTCATTAAACTAAATATCTACAAAACAAGATCAATTTACTTTAAAAGACTTTAACCATTTTTTCTTACCCCACTACCAAATAAATGTATTTTATTCATGCATAAATCAAAAAATAAATGTAAGGTTTATTATTTAAAAAAATATATAATAATAATGATAAAGAAAGAAATTGACAAAGGGTTAAAAAATAAACTTAATTAAATATTTTTTTTTGCAGCATGTCAGTGCTTTGGCATTAACTGACCAAAAAAGATTGGTGAACAGAAATCAAATTGCAAGCAAACAGTGTAACTTATATGGTTACTTTATGAGAAGAAGGTTAAAGGTCATACAGACACACTTTCTGCCCTGAGACCTGACTGTGCGTGTCAGCTGTGAGTGTGAACTGACAAGTTAAGGAGCTGCATGTAAACACTCACTCTTGCTCGGTTTAATATATATATATATATATATATATTGTATTTTTATATTCATACACTGCCATTGCCCCTGGTGAGATATGACACCCCTGGGCTTCATGAAAATTATTGCAGACCTTTTGCAAAAGCACTGTTCATAATTACCATCTGTCAGGCTTGAGACTGAGGAGTGATGCAGGATGTGTGTGTGTGTGTGTGTGTGTGTCTGTGTGGCTGTTTAACATGCTGAGCAGATAGCCAGCGTTTGACTGAGGGAAGCCAATCATAAGGATGCGAGCGTGTCCTTCCCTCTCTGTTCTCAGGAGGACAGCACTGAATAAATGCTTCATCTCACCTTACCGACACACAGACAGCACAATGTGTCTAAACAGTCTTCTAGGTCATTGACAGTGGCGCATGTGTTTGCACTGCCCTCACAACAACTCAGATATCTATTGAAGTCTATGTTCAGAATGGGATACTAGCTTACTACTCACTAAATACTGTGCAGTATACACTGTTTCCTATGTACTATTCTTTAAAAATAGTAAATGAAGCAATTACATTATTCCATTATTAAAATAGAATGCTACATTGTTGCCATATGACCTAAACAATTTTCAATCATTTTGAAAATACTTATATTTTAAATTTTTTTACACTAAATTAATTAAATTAATTAAAATTCTAGACTAGATTTTGGAATGTTCCAATTTGTTTACCAACATGCTACTTTTACTTGTGCATCAATCAGTATGTAGTATGCATACAGAGTGCACTGATCCTAATGCACTTAATATGTCACAATGTAATGTGTTAAACTTACGTTTACAAAGGTAGACAAAGCTGTCTGTCACTATGGCAATACACTAAAGTACAAAATGCTAAATTGCATTTCCTTGTATCTTATTTACTGATAAATGGTACAATAGTACCTTAAATGTACATACTGTATTAGTACTCAAAAAATGCAAATTAGGCTCTTTTGGTACCGCCTCAGTGACTAGAAAAAAAGAAAAGAAAAAAAAGTCTAGAAAATCTAAAAAAGTACTCTCCAAAATGGTGCTAGGGTGACGTGGAGACGACGAACTGATGAATAAAGTCGGGGTTTTTTTGTACACAAAAAGTATTCTCGTAGCTTCGTAAAATTATGGTTGAACCCCTGATGTCACATGGATTATTTTACCAATGTCCTTGCTACGTTTCTGGACCTTGATAGTATAAGGACACTTGCTGTCTATGGGAGGGTCAGAGAGCTCACGGGATGCATCAAAAATATCGTAATTTGTCTAAATTTCGCCTAAAAAATGTTCACGCAAAGAAAGAAGGCGTAACTTTTATTCTCGCTGTAGTATTGTTGTTTCCGCCGCCATGTCGTGAAGGCGCTGTGTGTTTCGTTGTGAAAGCGAAACTACTTTGTTTGGCCTTCCAAAAGAGAACGATATCTGCTTCGTCATGCCGGGAGCTGATCCGTGCTGGCTGCTGAGGAAATACAACAACTTTGCACTGTGGATCACCGGATCGGCTTTCACCGTGGACGAAGCGGAGTCCAGCCCGGGGTCGTCACATGTGGTTGCCGCAAGCCCTCCGGACACTCCTTCGTCGAATCCGCCAGCCGCACCGTTCTCAAGCCCGCCCGCCTCTGCTCACTCTAGCCCTCCGGCCGTTCCTCACTCTAGCCCCTGGCCTCTGCTCATTCTAGGCCACCGCCGCTCACTCTAGGCCACCGTGTGTGACACTGTGTTTCGTTGTGAAAGCGAAACTACTTAGTTTGGCCTTCCAAAAATTGTAAAAATCGATGCGTTTCAGAAAGGCAGAGCATAGAGGAGAAACAATAATGTACAGTATGTGGAAAATAATGTGTTTTTTGAACCTTAAACCGCGTAAACATTTCAATACACCAAATACACAAAATAATGTTCTTTTTAGCAACATCATATGACCCCTTTAAAAGTAAAAGCGTGGAACTAAATGTTTTCTGTACATCTAGTTGTCTTAAAACCATTGGAGTCACCAAACAGAACCACAAAAACATTGACAATTTTTCAGTCAGTCCTGAACACTTTCCTGTCTACTATTGATATAAAAAAAAGGGTCGCCCCCAATGCCATTGGTTGAGCCAATGTTGCTATGCCAGGCTGGTCGGGCTGCTTAAACATTGCTATGCACAGGATGTTTTGAAAGTGCCAGAGTGTTTAAACTTTCCAACCTACGAATGGCTTACTTAGTGTTTTTGCTTTTAAAAAATGCTTTTATTTCTTACCTTAACAGCTTCAGCATCGCATGTTCCAGGTGGGCCCTGTGTTGAAGAAATAAATCTCAGTATGAGTAAATCAAATCACTTGCACTTACATTTGGAAGCTCATTTCAAAATGTCTTGAGCAAGGAAGCTTTTTTGCTCAAAACCCAATATTGTAAAATGCAAAACAAAATGTAAATTCAGCTTTAACTGCTTGACCCTGCAACCAGGACAGCATTCACTGCGTATTAGCCTCTGTCGCCCACGACTGGAGCAACAACACCTGTGAATGTCCTTGACAAAGGTCACTAGACACATCAGCTCAACTAAACATCCAGCTAGATAAGGGCTTCCTGGACCGCACATGGCATTCCTCGACACCTCGAGGCTGGGGGAGGATGTCTGTGCCGCCCGAGGCCCTCCTCCTCCCTACCATCACCACTGACGACAGGCCACTCATAACTGCCAGCTCCCGAGGACAGAAGCAAGGTTGGCACATGCCATGGAAATTATCGAGAAACTGCCATTTAAAAATGTCACAACCACTTCCCTCCTGACTTATGACTTTGTGTCCACCACTTTATAACTTTCCTGTAATGGAAAGTGCTAGGGATTTACAGTAGCATGTGTGAAACTAAACGGTCAGTCACTATTAGTATGCAGAGCAGATCAGGCAGCATTTGCGATTCGTTTTGTAGCTTAGTAAATCTTTAAAGAAACAGCTGAACCAAAAATGAAAACTCAGCCATATTTACTTTCTAGAAAATGCAATTACAGTGAATAGGGTGTTGAAAAGGTCCCATAAATATCATATAAATGATATATAAATGTGTTCCATATGATCCATACACTTCAAGTCTTCTGAAGCAATATGATAGCTTTGTGTGAAAAACAGACCCTTATTTACCAAAAGTCTCAACATCTGTCACTGAATGATGACAGTATTGTCATCTGTAGATATGTTTTAAAGTTTTCATAATTGATGAGCGTTACAAAGTTATTGAACTGAATCTGAACAAACACTGAACTGGCTTGAGATGAATAATGACACTATTGTCTTTTTTGAGCTGCTTTAGAGCAGAATTTTAATTCATTTCATATTTGAAGTTGATTTTGTTACTTTACTGTTTATTACTGTAAAACGTCTTTGAAACAATTTGTATTGTATAAAGCATTTCATAAATAAAAGTGACTTTACTTGAATCTTTTCAGTGAACCCGTTGATTTGATTCATAAAACCAGTCTAAATGATTCGTTCACAAGTCAGACTCATTACAGTAGTGAAAAATCACTCGTGAAATTTATCGGCGAATAACTACTTCAAAGTCAGTCTGTTCCTTACACAAAGCTATCACATGACTTCAGAAGACTTACTGTAGTTCACACATCAAATGAACCACTTTTTGTTGCTTTTGCTTAAATAGTTCCTATTTATAGTACCTGCATGGAAAAGAGCAACCAGCACAGTCTGAACAAAAAATGTCAAATGGTTTTAGTACACAAGAGAGAGCAAATAATGACAGAATTTCCATTTTCGGGTGAAGTATTCCTTTACGTTTTCATTCAATATAGCAATGTATTAATCACTAATTTCCCACTTAAAATAGAATCAGTAAAGCTGGCAATGTTTATCCAGTTCTACATATGTGGGTACAACCACAAAGCCCAAGGCAATGTAAAAATGCCAGAAATGTATGATGCAACATACGTTTCAAAGCCTGAAGTGTGTGCGTGTGTGTGATTTTTATGTCACACACATTTCCATACTGATGCCACAGCTATGATGAGATGACTATTTATCAAGCAGTAAACTAGGGCCCCTTTGAGAGTCTCATCAGGATCTTCAATAACACTTACGCATGGGACTGCTCTTAATATGGCCCTCTGGGTTGCTTGAAATCCTAATTTGAAACGTTGAGCCAAACAGCGCATGTGATGGAGATTTCACTTGAACCAATGCATAAACCAAGAAAACTCATCTGGAGAGGGATGAATATAGCAGCAGGTATCTGTCCATTATGCACAATGACAAATTTTGTTTGCTTTTGAAGCAGATTTATGACAACAATTACGCTTTCTGAATCTCAAACGAATAGCAGGGGAAGGAAATAAGGCAGAGAAGTGATATAAATGAAATGGTACAAATGAGCTGCATTTCAAAACCTATATTAAATTGTATACATGTATTTTATATCAAATTAATATTTATTTATTTTCTAATTCCATTGAATTAAAATGAACTGTTTTAAACGGTATTTGGGAACAAAAACTTTTCTAAACTTAAAATACTTTTGGCCATCTAGACTTTACATTTCAAGTTCTAGGAGAAATTTTGCAGAACGCTGGAGCATGGATTTAAATATGGTAAAATGGAGCTAGTACACGTGTTAGTAGCTGAAATATCTCACTAAAATAAACATATAAGAGAAAACACTCAGGGTTTAAAACTTTTTGAATGACAGGCATATAAATATGTGGAGATTTCTGCAGAGCTTTGTGGGCACAGATTCTGTGTGGGCTTGGTATTAATGCTCATATATATATATAAACTAGCAGGTATCGAACACAATTTATTTGTTTATTTATTTATTAATGGTGATTTTCTGCACTAATTTAATACAACTAAATCCTCTGAACCAATCCACTCTGTTTATTATTTGCTTCTACAGATCAAATCAATTCCTGAACTGTAAAAATATCTAAATATGTCCAAAACAAGATGCAGAGCCTCTAAAGATTAATTGGACACTTGACACAATTTATGAATTTCATTGTATTATATAATACAATATCAAATCAGGCAGGCAGGAATAAAGCAAATGCACACTTTTAGAACAGAAATAGAATTATATAGAAATACTTTGAGGGGTCTTTGCAAATTCACTTAAGAAAAACTGTTAGAAAATAATAATAATGTTGGACTAAAGAAAATATATTTTGAATTAAGTTTAATTTTCTTCTCCTGTTGCACTGCCAAGCTCCTGATTGGTTGGGAAAAGCCATTCAGCTTTTCAAAACTTTCATTTTTGGCCTCCCTCAATGCTGAATATTTGGTCATTTTCTTGTCAATGTTACACATACTATAAACTGTCATTCTTACCGGTGGTCCTGCAGTCCCTGGTTCTCCTGTTTTCCCCCGTCGACCCTGCAAGACAGAAAATGAAAGTGTAAGAAAAGACAGAACATTTCAACAACAGGTTCATGTTTGGCAATGCTGGGTGGCAATTAGGAGAAGACAGCTCCTCTTGTTGCAGTGACTAATTTGCTTTTAATTAACAGAAAGAAAACAGCTTAATTGCAGAGCTCTGTGTGGTGCATCGCTTTCTCTATACAACCCAAGTCTACCACCTCCCTTCCAGCTGTGACAAACCATGGCCACATCGATCAAAACAGGCCCTGTGTGACAAACAGAACGGGCCCCTGAGCACGGCCCCGAATGCTCGCCTGGACATAATGGACTATTCACAAATATAATAAGCGCCTTCAATTCATATGCTCGAAACACACGAAAAGGCAAAGTGCATGAGGTGGGCTCAATGAAAGCCGTCAAAACTGCCAGTCACCGGTTTAATTTTCGCCGCGGCGTGATGACAAGAGCATATCGGAAAAACTGACATAAAGACAGCCGGTGTGGCAACCTCGGGGAAATTAGTTTCCACATTGTCCCTCGATGAATAAGCCGGACGTTTCTTTGATGGCTGCGTCATCTTTGCTAAATTAATTTTATGGAGACGTTTTATATACAAGCGCACGGTGCAATTTCAGCAATATGTACACCATTATTAAGAATTCAGCAGGGGGAGGCGGAGGACCAGACTTTTTTTTGTCTTTTTTTTGTCTGTGTGGGCAGTGTTTGTGAGATCGCTGTTCATGGTTGGATGAAAGAGGAAGTGGAACGTGCAACACAAAAGCCAGTGGCTCGTCTGTATCCTCAGAACTGTTCATTTACATACTCTTTGATTCAATGATGTCGAGTTTGCCAGTGTTTGTCATTTTCATTACCTGCAACATAAAGAACTCCCGATGAATGAACCACTGTTATCATCAGGCCCTGTTTAAATGGATATGCGTGTGTGTTTGCTGGTAATTTCAGAGCAATAAGGGAACATTAACCTTAATGATGTAACAATAACTAGAAGGAATCTTAGCAGATACTTGTGTAGGACATTGTCTGAAATTCCCTGCTCAGATGGGGGTTTTTTTCTTCTTGATGTCCTTGGGCCAGATTCAAAGAATATTCTCAAGAATAAAATTATTAACTGCTGTTCTTAACTCAGAAAAAAATATATATCTAAATATTGTATTCCCAAAATACTTAAAGTCCCCCCCTTTATGTTACAACATAACACTAGCTACTTATAATACATATTACTTATATGTAGCTTATGATTAGCAGGGGGAGGAAATTAGTGATATAAATGAAATGGTACAAATGAGCTACATTTCAAAACCTACAGTATATTCAATTATATATATATATATATTATAATGAACGGTTTTAAACAGTATTTGGGAACAAAAACTAAACTTCCAAATATTAAGCGTTACAATGTAACACTGGCTACATATAATACATATTACTTATGATTATTATAGTAATTTGCAGGGAGTATAAAAAGGTGGCCTTTTTATTGAGTTCTCCACTGGGTTTGTACAGTGAGTCTGGCATCAGATAGCCAAAGCCCGTTGTTTTGTTCTTAAGAAAACATTAAAAAGTTTTTAAAAATATATTTGACAACTTCAAATATTTTTCAAGAGGCACATGTAGAACTTTCTTAACTTCTTTTGAAGATTTTTGTGAATCCAGCCCCTACGGCCTTATTCTAGGGTGGATGGTTGTGGATAGCTGCTTGGGTGATTCTAGGTGGATGTTTACTGTCTGTCCCTAAAACTTTATAATAAGCTAGTTACTTGATATGGTTTAAGTCCCTCTTTCATGGTTTTGAAATAATAGTAGCTGGTTATAGCTGGTTTATTGTGGTTTTTGGAAGATGGTGGGTGGTCAACCAACCAATGAGCAGCTAATATCCAGCTTGGACCTGCTAGAAACCAGAACCAAAACAATTAAGCAGGATTTTCTATTCAGTCTTCTCACCACACTATCAACATCTGCTCAGTGAAAATCAAGTAGGTTGTTATCAGCAGTAATGATACGTTAACATTGCGTAGAGTCGGCGAAACAGGTCAATTAACGGTTTGTTCCGGTTTCAGTCTGTGCTATCTGAAAAACTTAAGACAACAAAAGCTATATGAAAAAATAAAACTACATATTTCATAATCCTATTAAACTAAACTGATGATGAATAATGTATTTTCTAATCATCTTCCTTTTGCCCCTAAAATATATTAAGCTCTTCTGTGAATACTAATATCTTGGTGGCTGTAAGATATGCCATAACAGACCTCATGAATTATAGAAAATTGGGAATAAAATGTTAAATGGGAGTCAAAAGACGTAGATTACAACAATACCATGATTCTGAATGTTAAACACTTTTTATAATGCACTAAAGCAGAAGCTGTCAAATCTGAAATTGGGGCTTACCCGTGCAACCCTCACTAATCACAATTCTAGGATGAAGGTTAATCATTGGCCCAATATAAAAGTAATAAAAGAAATACTAAATATTTTTTTGTAAATTAATTTTACTGTAAATTAAAAGAAATAGTATTTCTATTTGTAAATATTGTTTCAAATTAAACGAATTATAAATTAATATTATAATTTTAATTTTAACTTAAAATTTTACAATCAAACTGAATATAATATAATATAGAAGTAAAATATGTAAAAGGCCCATTTTAAGCAGCCAATACTATGAAAATCTGTTTTAAAATATCCTTATAATGAGCTTATCTGGTACAGTCGTAAACTTCTGTGCTATTTCAAGTGTGAAACACTTTATGAGTATTTATAATTTATATTTATATATTAACTTCAGTTGCTGAAGTATTGAGTACACTTGCAAGCATTTCTGCAAGTCACTTTATACTTTAAGTTAAATTCTGGCCAAACACAAACACATTTTTTCCTGGAAACACATTGCTCTGTTGACATTGCGTAGAGTCGGCGAAACAGGTCAATTAACGGTTTGTTCCGGTTTCAGTCTGTGCTATCTGAAAAACTTAAGACAACAGAAGCTATATGAAAAAATAAAACTACATATTTCATAATCCTATTAAACTAAACTGATGATGAATAATGTATTTTCTAATCATCTTCCTTTTGCCCCTAAAATATATTAAGCTCTTCTGTGAATACTAATATCTTGGTGGCTGTAAGATATGCCATAACAGACCTCATGAATTATAGAAAATTGGGAATAAAATGTTAAATGGGAGTCAAAAGACGTAGATTACAACAATACCATGATTCTGAATGTTAAACACTTTTTATAATGCACTAAAGCAGAAGCTGTCAAATCTGAAATTGGGGCTTACCCGTGCAACCCTCACTAATCACAATTCTAGGATGAAGGTTAATCATTGGCCCAATATAAAAGTAATAAAAGAAATACTAAATATTTTTTTGTAAATTAATTTTACTGTAAATTAAAAGAAATAGTATTTCTATTTGTAAATATTGTTTCAAATTAAACGAATTATAAATTAATATTATAATTTTAATTTTAACTTAAAATTTTACAATCAAAATGAATATAATATAATATAGAAGTAAAATATGTAAAAGGCCCATTTTAAGCAGCCAATACTATGAAAATCTGTTTTAAAATATCCTTATAATGAGCTTATCTGGTACAGTCGTAAACTTCTGTGCTATTTCAAGTGTGAAACACTTTATGAGTATTTATAATTTATATTTATATATTAACTTCAGTTGCTGAAGTATTGAGTACACTTGCAAGCATTTCTGCAAGTCACTTTATACTTTAAGTTAAATTCTGGCCAAACACAAACACATTTTTTCCTGGAAACACATTGCTCTGTTGTTCTTCTGAGAGATGAAGCCCATTCCACACACTACTGTTTTGACAAAAGAAACAAACTGGATCTAACCAAGACTGAGAGAGAGACGTGGAAGGCCCAGATGCACAACAACATGAGTACATCAGAGCAGGGGCGTAGATTACGCGGGCGACGTGTCCCCCCCCACTTTTAATATCACGTAAATTCGTCCCCCGCACTTTTTCGGGCAAGTGTGTTCGCATAGAGGTTTTCAAGAGCCGGTGTGAATAGATATAGATTTAAATTAAAAAAGACAGGATAGTCTGTGCATGATCTGATGTTTTATTTGGACCCAGAATAAGGTGAGATGAACATCACGGAGCGCTAAACATTCTGTGCAGTGTATGTTTCATTCACACTCGTAGCTGGAGGGCGCTCTCACGCAGAAAGTCGTATAAGGAAATTCCTAATACGGACAAAAGCGTCCAGCTATCGCTGTATGAAAACAGTTGTTTTCAGAAAAACAGAAACGTTTGGAAACATGAAGACATTAAACATACGACATACCATCTCCAGGTAATAAATAAAGTACATGAAAAATGCAGTGCTAACTGACATAGCATTTATTACAGTATAGAAACTATTCTGCCTTATGTGATAAAAAGTGTTTGTAGTATTTAAGCAAATAATTATTTGAAAAATTAAAGTTGACTATACACTACCAGTCAAAGTTTTTGAACAGTAAGGTTTTTTATGTTTTTTAAAGAAGTCTCTTCTGTTCACCAAGCCTGCATTTATTTGATCCAAAGTACAGCAATACAGTAAAATTTGGAAATATTTTTACTAGGCTATTTCAAATAACTGTTTTCTATTTGATTATATTTTAAAATGTAATTTATAGTGATTTCAAAGCTAAGTTGTTTGCATCATTACTCCAGTCACACTATCCTTCAGAAATCATTCTGATATTCTGATTTGCTGCTCAAAAAACATTAACAATAATAATAATAATAATAATTAAAAAAGGTTTCTTGAGCAGTAAATCAGCATATTAGAATGATTTCTGAAGGAAAAATGTCAACAGTCTCACTGAGACTCTGCGTGGGTCAGGTGCCATGGATTACAGAATACGTGTTAAAGGGACGTATGGGGGGCGAGGAGGAGGGAATGACGGACATAAAGGCAGATCTAGCATTTCAAAAGGTCCAGTAATCTGCAGTGAACACACTCTCTCCTACCAAGAAGAGGTCAGATGATAAGCCAGAGAGAGCCTGTAATGACAGATCCGTTTTCAACACTGATAATAAAAAATGCTTCTTTTTGAAATAGAAAATATATTTTAAAGTCTGAAACATTTCAAAATATTATCGTTTTAACTGTATTTTGATCAAATAAGTGTGGCTCTTATTGTGAGCATAAGAGACTTCAAAAACAATCTTACACTGTAAAAAAATATTTTTCAAAGTCATTGGAGTATTTAAATTTTTCTTTAATTCAATGTGTTTCTTGCCATTTCTTTGTGACTGTTTGTAAAGCACTAGCAATTTCTGAGCGAAAATTGAGTCTACCAAATGTTTTTCAGTGTACTAACAAAACTACTGTATGAAGCTTAAGTACTATATTTATTACTTAACATTACAATTCTCAGGAAAAAAAGGTACAAATGCTGTCAGGCAGTACTCTTTTGTACCTTGTTTACTCCTAAAAATGCATATCAATACTTAAAAGGTACATATTAAGAGTAAGTAAAGAGTACATATTTGTACCTTAATGGTACCTATTAGTTCCTTTAAAAAGGTAA